TGTATATATATATATGTGTGTGTGTGTGTGTGTGTGTGTGTGTGTGTGTGTGTGTGTGTGTGTGTGTGTGTGTGTATCACCACAGCAGAATGAACTGCCAACTAGTCCAGCATATGTTTTACACAGTGGATGCCCTTCCAGCAGCAATCCAGTAGTGGAAAACACCCATACACACTCATTCACACACACACTCATACACTAGTGCCAGTGTAGTTGATCAGTTCCCCTATAGCGCATGTGTTTGGACTGTGGGGGAAACCGGAGCACCCGGAGGAAACCCACGCCAACACAGGGAGAACATGCAAACTCCACACAGAAACACCAACTGACCCAGCCAGGACTTGAACCAGAGACCTTCTTGCTGTGAGGAGACCGTGCTAACCACTGAGCCACCGTGTCACCCCACATTTAATTTTTGCCCAGCACTAATATTTAGGTTACACTTTAAAAACAAAAAACATCTACAGGTGTGATTTGAAAATAATGTAAAGACTGAAGCATTTCTCATCTCAGTTCTTTTGTTTAATTCTTGTTTCCCATTTTCTCTTCTAAATCTTTCTTTTAATTTCTCATTGTTATATTTTACTCTTTCCCTTTCTTTCTACACTTTATTAATATTTCCCGTTCTTTATTCTCTCTTTCTGTTTTCTTTTCCTCCGCAGAGTTCTGCACCGTTTCCCTTTTTACTTTGACTTTTTCTTTGCTTTTGATTTTTCCTTTTATTTCCTCTTCAGTGTTTTACTCCTGTATGCAGATTTATAATTACAGTTGTTCTCAGTGGCTTTGGTGCATTTCTCACAACACTGTACATTCGCACAACAGTTCATGCATTTCTCAAAACTATTAGTACAAACTGCAAAACCCAGCTGATAATCTGCAGAAGCGTGTATCTTGCTCAACATGGAGAGCTCATTCCTCAGTATTGATGTCAGTGAAAGTGTCAGTGTGATCAAGATGAAGAGTCCTGACACCAGTACTTATGAACAGGATAGTCAAATGTCTGTCGTGTTTTCATTATCACAGACTAATCTTGTTCATTTGTTCCAATGTAAATCAGTCTGATTTACTGAAGACAGCAGCACTACTATTACATCTGCAAATAGCACAGCCATTTGAACACTACAGTAAAGTTAGACATCACTGCATTTAGGGAGGTGTCCGAGTACAACACACTGAATATGTGTGTTTCACATGTTTACTGCATTTGCTCTTTGCAAGTTTAGTTCAGTCTGACTGACATGACATGAGCAGATGATGATGTTATAAACAGCAGAGAGTTGTATGAAAGCAGATGATGCATGTCCAAAAGCATCTGCAAATTGTTGGAGGGAATGAGAAACTGCTAGTGTGATGTGCACAACTGACTAACTGTGTGGAGAACTGCATGAACTGTTGTGCAAATGTAAATAATGTTGTGAGAAATGCACCAAAGCCACTGAGAACAACTGTAATTGAGCATTGTCTAACATTTTCTGCCAAATCTCCATTCCTTCATATTTATTTCCCTGTCTTTGTCCTGTATCCTTTTCTTCTGTTTCTCTTGTGCATTTTCTCTATTATTATTCCCTTTTTCTTTTCTTCTGCATCTTTTCTTCACATTTCTTTCCCTTAGCTTTGCTTTTACCTTTAATTTTAAATTTACTTTGCGTTTTCTAAAATTTTCTGCCAAATTTCTCTATTCCTTTCCCTTTATTTTCCTGTAATCTTTTTCTTTTCTCTTGTGCATCTTCTCGATTGTTTCCTCCTCTGATTCTCCATGTGTTTTTTTTCTGTCAGAAACACGAGGGTCAGCTGACGGTGCTGCAGCTGGCGGATCTGCTGAGCGGAGTTGCGTCTGGGATGAAATATCTGACAGAGATGGGTTTCCTCCATCGGCGGCTGGCGGCTCATAAAGTGCTGGTCAACAGCAGTCTGGTCTGCAAAGTGTCCGGCTTCAGACCGCTGCAGGACGACAAGATCGAGGCCGTTTACAGCACGCTCGTGAGTCTTTCTCCATCGCTTCACAGTCAGCATATTGGTAGTTTTCAGTCATGTGACCTATGACAAAACAATGAGCCATAATGGCGGCTACACTGGGAACTCCATACACTGCGAAAATGCTTGTCTTACGTAGAGGTTTTTGTCTTGATTCTATCCCAAATATCTAAAGATTTTTTTAAATCAAATGCATTTTTAGACAAGCAATAAATACAGTTTCAGAAATAATGAGTCAAAATTAAAAGAGTTTTACCTTAATATAAGCTAAATAATCTGCCAATGGGGTAGAAAATAATCTAGTTTCCACGTTGTAAGATTATACACACATGTGGGCATATTGCTCGTAGACTTATTAATCATACAGAATGTGTTTGTTCATAATGTGGAAAAGCCCACCGTCTCCTGTAATGGTAGGCTTTGCTGTAGGGTGATTGTCAGTTGTCCTTCTGTGCATGTGTGTTCCAGCACGGAGGGAAGAGTCTGGTGTTGTGGACGGCTCCAGAAGCGATCCAGTATCGCCGCTACAGCTCTGCGTCAGACGTCTGGAGCTTCGGGATCGTCATGTGGGAGGTGATGTCCTTCGGGGAGCGGCCCTACTGGGACATGGGCAACCAGGACGTACGTCTGACCCTCATTTACACTGCTGATCGACCTCTATATACAGCTGAAGTCATTATTACAAATGTTTTAGTCTTTTCCAAATATTTCCCAAGAGTTCCTGATAAACTTTAATCAAATATAATAACCTTCCATCCCCCTCGCAATGGGTTTCTTAATCTCCTAGTCAAATGTAATTCCTTTAGAGCTGTGTTTCTCAACCATGTTCCTGGAGGACCGCCAGCTCTGCAGATTTTTTTGGGGGCTATCAGTTTTTTAGGGTGTGGCTATCAGTTAATTAGGGTGAAGTTATCAGGCTTTAAGGCGGGGCTGCCAGTCATTAGGGTGTGGCTATCAGTATGATAGGGTGGAGTTTACAATCTTTAAGGCGGTGCTATCAGTCTTTTAGGGCAGAGCTATCAGTTCTTTAGGGCGGAGCTATCAGTTTTTTAGGGCGGAGCTATCAGTTATTTGGGGCGGAGCTATCAGTTATTTAGGGCGGAGCTATCAGTTATTTAGGGCGGAGCTATCAGTTATTTAGGGCGGAGCTATCAGTTCTTTAGGGCGAAGCTATCAGTTTTTTAGGGCGGAGCTATCAATTCTTTAGGGCAGCGCTATCAATTTTTTAGGGCGGAGCTATCAGTTTTTTAGGGCAGAGCTATCAGTTCTTTAGGGCGGAGCTATCAGTTCTTTAGGGCGGAGCTATCAGTTCTTTAGGGCGGAGCTATCAGTTATTTAGGGCGGAGCTATCAGTTATTTAGGGCGGAGCTATCAGTTTTTTAGGGCGGAGCTATCAGTTTTTTAGGGCGGAGCTATCAATTCTTTAGAGCGGCGCTATCAGTTTTTTAGGGCGGTGCTATCAGTTTTTTAGGGCGGCGCTATCAGTTCTTTAGGGCGGCGCTATCAGTTTTTTAGGGCGCGCTATCAGTTTTTTAGGGCGGAGCTATCAGTTTTTAAGGGCCGTGCTATCAGTTATTTAGGGCGGAGCTATCAGTTTTTTAGGGCGGAGCTATCAATTCTTTAGGGCGGCGCTATCAATTTTTTAAGGTGGAGCTATCAGTTCTTTAGGGCGGCGCTATCAGTTTTTTAGGGCGCGCTATCAGTTTTTTAGGGCGGAGCTATCAGTTTTTAAGGGCCGTGCTATCAGTTATTTAGGGCGGAGCTATCAGTTTTTTAGGGCGGAGCTATCAATTCTTTAGGGCGGCGCTATCAATTTTTTAAGGTGGAGCTATCAGTTTTTTAGGGCGGAGCTATCAGTTCTTTAGGGCGGAGCTATCAGTTTTTTAGGGCGGAGCTATCAGTTATTTGGGGCGGAGCTATCAGTTTTTTAGGGCGGAGCTATCAGTTTTAAGGGCGGTGCTATCAGTTATTTAGGGCGGAGCTATCAGTTTTTTAGGGCGGAGCTATCAATTCTNTAGGGCGGCGCTATCAGTTTTTTAGGGCGGCGCTATCAGTTCTTTAGGGCGGCGCTATCAGTTTTTTAGGGCGGAGCTATCAGTTTTTTAGGGCGGAGCTATCAGTTCTTTAGGGCGGAGCTATCAGTTATTTAGGGCGGAGCTATCAGTTCTTTAGGCTGGGACTATCGATCCTTTAGAGAGGGGCTGTCAGTCCTTTTGGGCGAATCAGTTCTTTTGGGGTGTGCTGTCAGTCCTTAAGGGTGGGACTATAAGTCATTTAGGACGGGACTATTAGTCCTTTAGGGCGGAGCTATCAGTTTTTAAGGGCGGTGCTATCAGTTATTTAGGGCGGAGCTATCAGTTTTTTAGGGCGGAGCTATCAATTCTTTAGGGCGGCGCTATCAGTTTTTTAGGGCGGTGCTATCAGTTTTTTAGGGCGGCGCTATCAGTTCTTTAGGGCGGCGCTATCAGTTTTTTAGGGCGGAGCTATCAGTTTTTTAGGGCGGAGCTATCAGTTCTTTAGGGCGGAGCTATCAGTTATTTAGGGCGGAGCTATCAGTTCTTTAGGCTGGGACTATCGATCCTTTAGAGAGGGGCTGTCAGTCCTTTTGGGCGAATCAGTTCTTTTGGGGTGGGGCTATCAGTCTTTAAGGGTGGGACTATCCATCCTTTAAGGCAAGGTTATCAGTTTTTTAGGTGCAAGGCTTTCAGTTCTTCAGGGTGGATCATCAGTGAATCTGATAGAGCCCCTGATAGAATCTGACAGAGCCCAAATGTTCCCTCATTTTGATTTTAGCAATCATATTTCAGTGATTCAATTGATTGCCTATTGGACAAAATCATGCACGTCCTACATTTTCAGGACCATATGAAGAGGATGTAAGTCATGATAGCAAAAAAAATGACCATCTTAACTTCCGTTTCATGTTAACTTTATGGGGGCTAATACTACTGACCTTTAAGAAACATTTGTTAATAATAAATTGCTTTTAAACCGACCAAACAAAAAAAATAAGACTCTCCTCAGAAGCTAAAAACATTATAGGAAATGCTGTTCTTGGAATTTAAAAAAGAGTCAATATTTGCGAGGAGGGCGACTGCTTTAGAGTTCAGCTGTAGACGGTCACTGATCTGTGGACAGTCACTGCTGCTCCTGCTTTAAATCTGACTAAAAATCCCTTTAGGTTGTTTGTGGTGTAGATTTTCCCTCTCCTTCCCCTCGGCCTGTCAGCAGGAGGAGATTTGACTGTGAGGAGTTCTGCATTTGTATGAAAATATTAAAGTAGCTGAAGCGAGAGGACAGATAACGTGTGTGTTTGTGTGAGTGTGTATAAGTGTGCACTTTGACTTGAAGACCACTTCAGCTGCGTGACCAATGCCTCTCAGAAGTGTCTCCGCCTGTGTGTTTGTCCTCTTTTACTGGCTCTGAAATAAACCCCGGCTGAAGGACGACACACACTCCAGGACCACACTAATAATAATGTGGACTGTAAACATGCAGAGAAGCTGCATCACTTAAATAAAACAGCATATATGTTTCGAAATGATTAATGTAATTTTTAAAAAATCCACTTTTTGCTTGATTTATTTATTTATTTATTTATTTACTTTTTTATTGATGACTTTATTATTATAATAATTTTATTGTTATTTATTTATTATTATTATTATTATTTTACTGTTATTGTTGTTTTTATTATTATTGTTAATATTTTTATCATTATTATTTTGTATTGCTTTTGTTGTTGTTATAAATATTATTATTATTATTATTATTATTATTATTATTATTATTATTAATATTTTGTTATTATTGGTGTTGTTGCTGTTGTTATTATTATAGGTGTTGTTGTTGTTGTTGTTATTATTATTAATTGTATTTTTATTGTTTTTATTATTATTATTATTATTATTATTATTATTATTATTAATATTATTATTGTTACTATTAATATTTATTATTATTATTGTTATTATTAATATTGTTACTACTATTATTATTATTATTATATTTTTTGTTATTATTATTACTATTTTTGTTATTATTATTGGTGTTGTTGCTGTCGTTATTATTAATATTGTTATTATTATTGTTGTTGTTGTTATTTTTGTTATTATTATTGGTGTTGTTGTTATTATTAATATTATTTTATTGTTATTATTTTTAATATTGTTAATATTATTATTATTATTATTAATTATTTATTTATTTTTTAAATAAATAGTTAGTTTCCATTCAGAAATTCATTTCAGGGAAAAAATATTTTAATTAATGCCAAAACACATTTGAATGGCCACTTAAGCATTTAAAAACATATTTAGTTGATTAATTAAATAAATAAGCATGTGACATCCTCAACCAATCACTGTGTACATAGTTAATAATCATGATGACCTCATTCCCATCAATGAGCTGTGTGTGTATTGCAAAGACATGCATGCCTGGAGCACATGTATAGAACAGGCCAAATTCTCCTTTGCGCTTTTACAAACAGGAAATCAGGGGTGTCCAGACCTAATTCTATGCCCTCGTTGTGTGGACAGGTAATAAAGGCTATCGAGGATGGTTTCCGGCTGCCGGCGCCGCTGAACTGTCCTCCGTCTCTACATCAGCTGATGTTGGACTGCTGGCAGAAGGAGAGAACGGAGAGACCGACTTTCACACAGATCCACAGCGCTCTCAGCAAGAGCATCCGCAGCCCAGACAACATCGGCTCGTCCACGCTCGGACGCAGGTAACGCATCCGTCATACAATACTGTACAACACTGTCACTGTAATCTACACTATATCAATGTACACAACACTCTTCATTACTGTAAACAACACTATATTACTGTACACAACAGCCTTACTGTAAACAACACTATTATTGTACACAACACTCTTCATTACTGTAAACAACACTCTTGCGTATGTGTTTGCGTGTGTGTGCATGTGTGTGTGTGTTCGTGCAGGACTCTGGGCTCGTCTGTATCTCTGGCCGAGCGAACTCTTCCCTCTTTCCCGTCCTTCAGCTCAGTGGGCGAGTGGCTGGAGGCTGTAGACATGGGCAGATATAAAGACAACTTCACCGCCGCTGGATACTGTTACCTGGAGTCTGTGGCCCGCATGACCGTACAGTGAGTTCAGGCTACTACACACACAATTATAATATTAATAATAATAATAATAATGATACTACTACAACTGATAATAACGATACTACTACAACTAGTACTACTACTACTAATAATAATGATGATGATGATGATGATGATATTAATAATAATAATGATAATAATAATAATGATGATAATAATAATAATAATGATACTACTGCAACTAATAATAAGGATGATGATGATAATAATAATAATAATAATAATAATAATAATATAATTATTATTAATAATGATGATAATAATAACAATAATAATAATAACAATAATAATAATAATAGTAATAATAATAATAATAATGATGCTACTGCAACTAATAATAAGGATGATGATGATAATAATAATAATAATAATGATAATAATAATAATAATAATATAATTATTATTATTAATGATGATGATAATAATAATAATATTATTATTATTTATTGTAATAATGATGATAATAAATAGTATATTAATAATACTAATAATAATAGTAGTAGTAGTAGTAGTAATAA